CGGGTCCCGCATCGGGTCCCGCATCGGGTCCCGCATCGGGTCCCGCATCGGGTCCCGCATCGGGTCCCGCATCGGGTCCACACGGAAGTCCGAGGGAGTCGAGCAGGAGCTGTTGGTGGTCCTGAGTCTCGTCTGACCGGTGGAGCTGCGGGTGGAGAAGGAAGAGCCTTGTTGACCTAGACCCCCTCACGGCCTCCAAATTGGTTGGCTGGATCTCAGAACATCCGGACCTCTGGACTTGAAGAAGTATTCGGAACATCATCCACCTCTGCACCTCTGTCGGTCTAGGGCGGATCAGGTGCTCGGAGAGTCCCTTTTCTTGCGTGTGAAGTAACATTGGATGGAAGAGATCAGGGTCAACAAGAGGATGAGGAGAAAAAGTCTTGCTAAATTGCAACTGTCCACTGTCCAGCCTTTGAATTGGAGGTTTGCCGTGGTCAGCTTGGCTGTGGCTTCAAATGCAAGCAGTTTGTGGAAACCGATTCTCGAAGCAAACCTTTACAACAGAATACTAAAGTAAAAGATAGTAAAAGAAATAAACAATCAAATTCAAGCCCACCGCCGTGCGTAGGCGTGGGCGAGTGTTTAGCCAAAACAACACAGGAGTTTCGAATCACGAACTCTAAGAACGCAGCGCTGCAAGACCACCCCAAGTAGCAAGTAACTCACAGATACTCACAGCATGAAGCCGAGCAACTGCTTCTGCACCTGCACCACAGCAGTGAATGTTTCATGGGAGCAACAGCTCAAGCAAAGCGGCAGATAGGCCGACCAGCTATATAAAGCACCAGTAAGGAATGATAATGATGTGATATCATATGTTTCTATCCCTAGTTGTGAAGGGCTCTCTTGTGTGCAGCAGTGGGCATCATTCCGCGAACAAATCCCTTTGCCACTTGCCAAAATGCACAAAGCATTCCACAATATTCACGCCGACACCCTGCCACTCGATCTCACCAACTGCACGACCGACCGGCGGAAAACCAATGTTTTGACCACCCACGTCCTTCTGTTTGGAGCGACCCAAGGCCTTCCCATTCTGTTTTGGTTCCATCTCTTCCTGGCACCGGTCCCCAGCCCAGCCTGCATGATCTGTTGTCTTGGGTGTCAGTTCTCGTGTGCAAAGCGGAACACTCGGCAGGCTCAATCGCTCGCTCGCTGAAGCCGAAAGGGAGGCGACAGATCGGATCAAAAGCAGGTTGAGCGCCTGCGCCCCACTGCACCCACGTTCCTAGGCCCTATCGGCCCTATCGTTTAGTCGATTGTTCAAGTAGATAAGATATGATAAGATGATCAACGAACCAGGTTATATAAATAAAGTATTTACATACTCGGTCAATAGTGAACAGTCGTGCAGTCGTCATGATATGCACTGGCATGCCAGGCCAGTGTGAGTAGGCAAGTTGCATGGCAAGGCCGTGGCAAGGCCCTATTGGCTCAACTGATGCCTTAAGAAAAGAGTGTACAGTACGTCAAGCACCCAGACTTGCTAAACATATCACACAAGCTTCGAAAAGAAAGATGTTTGAATCACATCCCAAGTTGTTCGATCTCTGTCATCGCCAAATGCCAAAACTGTAGGTTCCCTCATGAGTGCTGACACCTGCCAACTGACCAAACCCGCCAAACACATCAAGCTCTTGCCATCTCTCGCCTATGCCTTTCCCTGCTGTCTCTGGCCAAATGATCTCAGCCACCACCTGCCGGCGAGTAGGAACCCTGATATCTTTCGAGACTAAGTTGGCATTGAGCAAATAACTGCATTTGGCCACCTTCCAATCGCAGCACAATGGGTCCATCAGTATCTCAGTCTCGACTCGAGTCTCGACCATGGGCAATGAAAAAGAACTGAGTTTTGCAATGGTTTGCAATTCGTCGGGAACATTCCCTCTTTCCCTGATGTCTCTTGGAGAGAGTTTTGATAGGTGACCCAAATGCCTTTTGCGGGCACCGATCGGCGCGCCTCTCGGGTGGTCCAACCTCGTTGGAATCGAACGTTCTGCTCCTGGCAACTTCTTCGAGAGGTTCCACAGAACACACTCACACCACCTCCCAGGTCTGGAGAAAGCCGATGGTAGTGAGGGGGATAGTGCGTTGGGGGAAGGTTTGGAACCTGATGTAGTGAGTGCAAACAGGAAAGTAAGCTTGCAGTATCTGGATTGAGTACTGCCTAAATTTTATCACACTTTGACTACTGCCTCCGCCTTCGTCTAATATCTCTTATCACAGTCATCGGCCCGGCCCTGCATCAAACCAACAGGAGCAGAGTGACACCTGGTGAGCACACTGGTCACAAAGAGAAAACATGTCCATAGAAGTTGCCTGCCAAGGAGAACATTGTTGAAAAAGGAGCTTTCACGTTGCTTTTGTGGAGCTCCAGGGTCCAGTGGCTCCACCAAGGCCTCTCTTTTCGAAAAAAAGATCTGAAAATCCTCCCTTCACGAAGCCTCAAGAAGAACCTACCTGCCTTTTTGAAAACCTACCTGCCTTTTGGAGCCTCTGCATCCATCCTTCATCCGCCCATCCAATGGGTATCGTCCCCCCGGCCAGATCCACTAGCTGGTCGAAATGGATCCCCCACCTCAGCGGAGTCTGGTGACCCTGCAAAGGGCTGCTGTAGGCTGGCAGTGAAGTATTTCCTGGACTTGCTTCGCAAGTCTAGTATCTACGAGTCTACAGTGTGGATTGTTTTAATGATTTTGATATATCCTATAGAATCTGATAGATATCACTTTTAACCAAACCCTTCGTCCCTGCAATCTCTTGTTCATCTCACTGCTGGCCAGAAAAAGCCTTCAGAGAAGCATCCTCGCTCCAAAATCCTCCAAACTTCTGCCCGAGGTGTCACGAAGCACCGAAACTGTTCTTGTCCCAAAAAAACTCCTCGATTGACAGCCATGTCTCAGATTGACGGACATGCTGGATGGATTGTCTGTGGGTCATCTGTCCGATGGGACGTGAATCATCCGTTCTCCTTATTCATCCTAAAGCCCTGGATGTTTCTGGACTGGACTCCCACTGAAAACGGAAGTTCTCTTGGTTTGGTCCCTCCACTTGGATTACAGGACACGCGCGCGCCACCTCAGCCCACTGCGCATCCTTGTGGGCTGCTCAATCACCGAAGTCCTTCACTGAGCACTCAATCCAATCGGCGCTGGCCCAGCTCCAACCGAGTCACATGTCCGGTGGCAGCCCCCATTGATGCAAGTGAGGACGAGCAGTCCTGCCAGTCGAAGTGCGGCACCCAGTGGAACTGGTCAGCCGGTGTACAAACACAGGTCGTCAGATGGGGGGGGATCAGAATCTTTTCGGGGTGATCACTTACAATACAAATGGACCATGGACCATGGATGTAAAAGAGCAAGCATAGATGTGACCTCTTCCATCAAATCCTCTTGAAAGGACCGCCATCCCCCCTGAACGGTTTCGCGAACCGCGAACTTGCCGTTGCTCCTCAACTGAAAGCGTGGCTCAAAGCCTCAGCTTTCGTGAACAAGGACAGGGGCCGACTGACTGACCTGAGACCAGAGCACAGGGCCTCAGAAGATAAGACACATCAACCATCCAACCCGGAGTTCGGCGTTTTCTCCGAGTTGGATCCGATTTCAGGTGCTTTCTCCACGGATCCGAACGCAAGTTGGATCTTCCCCCCCTCGCGAAGATCTGAAAAAGAGCGTGCGGGGTCCGCCGCTTGGTGTCGGGTCCACCTTGTTTGGTTTTAAACAGAGAAGGACGCAATAGAAGGGCAAAGATCCGAAACCCTCCGATCAAAAGAACACTGGAACGGAATTTGCCACCGTGAACCGGCTAAATCAGCTATATAATATATATCATGTGCATTGTATGATAGTGAGAAGAAACTGTGATATCAACCAAGACAAGGTGCTGGTTTTGTGAAGGATAAAATCTACAGAGTATAGATGAGTATAGTATGATAAGTATTCAGGCATTTTCAGGAGCACGTAGTTGACTTTCCTTCGTTTGTTCGAAGTCCCAATCACTTCTCTCAAATATAGAGCTCTAATACACCCCCCCTTGAATACTATCCGTATCCTTTGTCCAAGACAAGTTACACAACGTTGAAACCTGAGCATATAGAAAAGGCTAGTCTTGCAACCCGAACCGCGACACAGAACATACGAGTACACGTGATTCATGCGTGAATCTTGCGAAAGTAATCAGCGCGATTGACCCAGAGGTTGTGCATCTGATTGGCCGCTCCACGATGACCGCACTTGTCTGTCTATGGAACCATTCCAACACTGGTCCTCAAACAGTCTCACTCGAACAGTCTCACCCCCTATGCCTCCCTAAAGCTACCAATCTCATCATCTCACTCCCATACTCCCATGGTGCTTCTCATAGGTCCCATCACCGCCAGTGGCCAGAAATGCCTCCTTCCACCGTGGCCGAGGCGCTCAACGGCGAGCGCGGCCCCGGCCCCGCGGGCGTGGCACAGGACATGGCCGGCGTGGCCACCGACATGGCAGGCTGCGTGTGGAGCCTGGGGGACGCGGTCGGAGAGTGGAGCTTCTCCTCTTCAGAGGACATGTGACATGGCAGCGGCTGGTTGGAGATCTTGCGAATTGAACAAGTTGAAGAGCTGAGCAGGGAGTTTCATGTTTAACTGGCCAAGGTGCAAATGGTTCTGCCACATGGACTGACACTTCTGGCCCACCCATGAAACCAGTAGATGATCCAAAATCAAAACTTGATGTGGTTCGAGAAAACCCTCACCCGCGCTCTCGGATCCTGATGTTTGTGTGCGGCTGAACACGGCACATGGCCCCTCGTTCTGTCCGCCACATCTTCTCTCGAGCTCACATTGCAAGTCCAAAACCCATCAAAACCCTGGTCCATGGAGAGCTGAAGGCGCTTCTGACTTTCGTATACTCTATTACTTGCTTTCTTCCCGCTGGAGGTCTGGCCAGCCATAAGCCTCTGAGCTCCCCGTGCTGGGCCCGGGCATTCGGCATGAGCCGCGGTGGCGAGCGCCTATACAAGGACTCTCCCAGTGGGCAAAGACTAAGACCTGAAGCTTTCTGTTCGGGATGCTCACCACTTGCGGGGAACTGCGGTGAAAATGGACATTGAAGGTTCCGTCGTATCTCATGTGTCACACACGTGTCCTTACAACAATATGATCAACGATAAAAACATGTGAAAATCTATGGGCAAAAGCCAAGGAAGAAGAAGAAGACGACGACGAAGAAGAAGAAGAACAAGAAGGACCCAGGCATCCAACTCCAACAGCCGATCATGAAAGGACTCCGGCCTGGAAGGCGAAGACGTCCGGGCCGTGGAAATTAACAGCGACTGGGCCGATGCTGTCCTGATGGGCCGTCGCTATGGACTGGTGAGGATGCTATGAGACATGCGACGGACTGGGGCAGTAGAATCTTCTTCTCTATACATTCATTGGGGTCAGTCTGGTCAGTGAAATCTATAAGGAGATATAAGGAGCCTATTGTTTTAGGGCTCGTGCGTCACCAGTCCCACTTCATTTGGGCGGGTAGGTCGATAGTCTTGAAACGCTTTGATCAGAAGTGAAAGGCTGGCGGAGCAGCTCTTCAAGTAGAGAGTGGCGTGTGGTACTCACCATGGCTCTATGCACTGCTGCACAACCCATGCAAACGAGAAAGCAAGATCGCGTCTCTCAGAACATCACAGCTGTTGAAAGTGTCACAATTGTCACAATGTGTTTCACGCATGAATCACGGATGTGTCACACTACCAAGAGGAAACTCTTCTGGGACCCTTTGTGGCGCAGATCCCAAGCCCCACTTGGGGTCCCACTGAGCCCCGGTCGGAACTGGGGGACCCTTTGGGCTCAGCACCTGGAGTCGGACTGGTGGTCCGGTCCGGTCGGGTCTGGCACGGTGGAGGGTCCAGCAGCACCAATCCATGTGCCAAAGCCATTTGTTACTACTAGTAAGGCACTTGTTCCAAAGCCCTGGTGAGTTGAACATCCAAGTCTTAGATGAATGAATGAATCGTTTGGATATGTGGATGCTCGTTTGTGTTCGATTTGTTCGTTGTGCGGGGCATGCTCAACAGGATTTCAGCGGTCTGGCAAGAGTGTGGGAAGGTGCCATCGTCAGCTCGCTTTGCACTGAACGGTTGGTCCTCTGAAACAGCCTTGCAAGATCCAAACTGGGCCGTCTGACTCTGTGACAGTTTTCAGGACCTTTCAAAGTGTTTGTTGAGGTATGGAAGAGCTTGTGACCTATTGTTTGACTGTGGGTCCAAATGCTCAAAATGATTTCAACCTTTACCATCCGGTTTCTCTCGACCATGCAAGAATCCATTGCCACAGGACCCACCTTGACCGACCCAGCTTCCAAGGGCGCCGAAGCCCTAGGCCCTAGACTACTCCCTCAGGTCGACTTGACCCAGGAGGCTTCCAACATGGGCGACTCCACTGTCCACTCAACCACCAATCATGCCAGGAAAACCCCCAAGGAGCTTCGCAAGTTCTCCTTGGCAGACTTGGAGACTCTTTCCGTGTCGGCGTCGGACGTCTGCGGATCCCCACATATTAACTGCCTCCCTGCCGGCCCAAAACTTGCCAAAAGTCTTGGTTTGGAGGATGATGAGAATCCCAGAGACTCACCCATCTTTTTAGGTGGCAAATTGACAAGCCGCAGAAACCATGACATTTCACAGGTCTCGACCTCGCACAGACTGGTCTCTCAACAAGAAAGCCATGAAAAAGCCTCCTTGCGATGGAAGGTTTTATTCATCAACAGTCCACATGTTCAGGGGAAAAAATATGTGGAAAACTCTTCGGCTGGCATGCTTTCTGCATCATCATTGACATCCGTATTTAGACAAAAGTAGTCTTTGGCAAGTCTTTGGATGTCTTTGGGTGTCTGCAATTCCTGGGGCCAAGCACCTCCGAGGCCCCGGAACTCCGCAGCACCGAGGGAGGCCGCTGAGAGAAGGGCCCTCCACGATCAGACGCGGGCGCCGACGCGACCGGTGTTTGATGTTCATCCTCGGATCAGAAGGGATTTTGAAAACAAAAGGGATCAAACATGATCAAACAATGCTAGCCTCAAACAAAAGGTGCTCTCAAAAGATCAATGGAACTTCCCCAAACGCCGAGAGACCGAGTTCACTGCCTCCTGACCAGACCACCCGGTGCTCCCGGGGTGGCGTCGGGGGCGGCATCACCTGCACACGGGCCTGGCAGACCGGGTGGAACGACCAGTGGATGGCAAGTGGAGAGGAAAAAGTGGAGATGGCGCTAGATCAAAGGGTCACTGCCATAACTGTATATATGTTGTTCTATTCTATGGACATCTATGAACAAGCTCCAAGTGGGATTCTAAGAATAGAGACGGGTGTCTGAAGGACAAGAGATTCTCAAAATGCAAGTGCAGCGATTTGAACTGAACATCCACACCACTCCCAAATACTCGGTCGTCGCGTTTCCCAACCTGACGAGCTCTACACGCACCCTTCGCCCTTCGCCATGTGCTTGTCTCAAAAGGCGACTTCGTGAATGGACAAAATAGACAATGACCCAAAAAATAGACATTAATTTGGGTATATTATAAATGAACCCCCCCTTTTTCCCCCGGTCCAGAGCTCCCGGCCCGCGGCAACGTCCGTGGCGGCGATTGCGGCGGCGCCACCCGCGGCGGCGCCGGCGTCAGCAGCGGCGCCGTGGGCGACGCGGCCACCGCGGCCGCGCTGGCCGGGCCGCGCGTCTCGGACGCTGGGCCGGGCGCGGCGCGCACAGAGCGGCTGAAGAGAGGCGGTTCCTTGGGCCTCAGAGAATGAGGTTTTGAAGCCAGAAATCGCGTTGGAAGAAAGCTCCCAATGACACCCAATTACAACTATGACAATTATGACCATCCAGTCTCTGCGTCCTGGGCCGGAGTCTACAGTGTCTACAGTCTACCTAGACATGCATATTGGCCCGGTCACCAGGCTACAGCAAGCCCATTGGCATGAATCCACCTCCATCCCTTCCGGCCAGGTGGCGTGCAGCATCCAGCCACTGGCACCGTGGCACGATTCCCCACGGGGCGCAATAGCTTCGAGGAGGGCACCGCTACAATGACCTGGGCAAGGAAGAAGGCAAGGGGGAGCCAACCAATAGCGATGGCCACTGGCATACATAGACCATGTTGAAAGATTTCATGTGAGCTCTCGGACCGGCCCAGCAGGTGTCGACGGCGCAGCAGTCGACGGCGCAGGCGGTGCAGGTGGCGCAGCCTCGCGGCCAGGGTCTGGAAGTCGAGCACCCAAGTGTGGGCTCGCCTGCGCTCGGCTAAAGCGCCAGGCAGCGGCTACACCACCAGATGTATAAAGATTCGGTGAGAAGCATGTGCAGCATGTCTCATGTTGGAACGATCTCTCCAATCTCGGGCGACCTTGCCAGGTCAGAAAGTCTTGGACCTGTCTGTGTGCCTTTGGGCTGCCTTGAAGACCATACCCAACTGGACACCAAATGCGTCTTTAGACCAAAACAACATCAATCATACGCATCTCAACCTCTCCTGATTACTATGAAGCTTCACTCAAGATGCTCAAGCACCTCCCACTTAATCGAAATGGTCTCTTTTAGCATTCGGCCGCCTCCCGCAGCTCCCGAGGCCGCGCCCGCTCTCCCACGGGCGCCGCCACAGTGGCCGCCGTGGGCCACAGCGGCACCGCCGGCGACGCGGCCGGCGCGGCGAGCGAGGTGGGCATCGGGGGCACCACGGTGGGGGGCAACGAGGTCATCGAGAGCACCTCGGTCGAAAAGGGATGAAGAGGGGCTCGAGTGGTGTATGTCCAAACCATCCACATTCAATCACATTCATATTGTTTGGCGGTGAGTGAAAGGTTGTGAGTCAGTCCGAGCCTCAAGCCGTGCGTCTTTTTCGTGAAAGGGGAGAAGCAAGCAGCTTCTTCGAAGCGGATCGGTGATGCTTTCGGTGGTCCAAATTCGGAAGCTCGTTCATTGGTGGATCTAGCATGATCTAACTGCAATCTATGCACTATAGTTTATGGACAGTTGCACCTCTTGAATGATATGATCACTACAGTAAAACGGATAAATCTGGGTTCCTTCCAAACTGTGCACCAGATAGCCTTCAAAACCTCTGGCCTGGGAGGAAGGCGTTTGTTTGCTCCTAGGAACCAGAGGTGAACTATGAACAACATGGACATAAAGTAACTACCTGAGTTGACTTGGTATGAATCAGCGAGCTGGGTGATAGCCTTGCTTCAATTCACGACTACTCATGATCTATTCATTCTTCAAACGCCTGGTTCTCGTTCCCCCAGGTCCCCCGGCCTTCGAGGCGACGGTGCGTTGGGTGACGGATGGTGACCTTGGACAGTCGGGCCGATCTGCCCGGGGGGGAGGGGTTGGCCATAGGATAGGACGCAGGATAGCTCACGCTTCTCTAAGGAAGCTCCCCCCCGCCTGAGGGCGGGGAGGAGCTTGCTTGAAGAAGCGCTCGCGCTATTCACTTGGTTCCTAGATATCAATGGGGCACCTGTTACCCACAGAGCATCACGTGCCTCACCTCCGGCCTGTCTCAACGCAGAAGAGGCCTGAAATAAGGTACGGTGTGGGCCAAATAAGGTACGGGATGGGCCACGGGCTGCCCTTCTCAACCAACAGGCTTCACTAAGGCCAGGTGCTCAGATTGAGAATGCTTGGGTAAACAAGGTGACTTCTGCGTCTAGAAAAATACGGATGTTCTTTGTTCGACATATGCACGAACCTCAGCGATGGCCCGAGAAAATCGATATTTCATGGAGATTTCAAGCCGTTCAAATGACTTCGATCGACACCTCGACCTTCTCTCAGTTGTCCTCATTTCTCGCCCCCAAGTTCAGCACTGTAGCTCGCGGGGTTCTCGAAGGTCAGGAGTTTGCGAGAGCCGCACCTGCCAGCCGGTCGACTGAGAGAAGTCGCATTCTCGTTTCAAATACTCTGAGTGGCAAACTCTCTGTCCTATGCCAGACATGAGACGGGACTCTCAGTCCAGGATCCCACTCCTGGGCAGCGTGCCAGGTGTGCGTTTTTGTTCCCGACTGAACTCTTAAGCCCTTGCAAACGGTTGTTCATCTCCAGTTCACTTTGCATGCAGTGTATGTTATGGGTCTCGATGGAGAAGTCTACGTAACCCATGCTACCCACACGCGTCTTAGCGCAAAACCAACCATTTTCCCCACCCTTTCCCAGTTGCCCAGAGGTGGCCCCACCCAAAAACACCTCCAAAACCGCACAAACGGTAAAAAAAATATACGTATATAAAAGAAATGTGTTGGCGCGTCGTTCTTGAGTGAAGGAAGAGAGGAACATCTTTTTCAATATACTCAATCCAAGCGAAAAAAACAAGATCACTAAGGATACAAAAACTGCGTCATGCAAAACCGCAGCTCAACAAGAAGATAGAAGAAATAGAAAACCGCCTTTGTGCTTGTCGCGATTTCACGGATGTTCTTAATGTTCGGATGTCTTTGGCGTATCTCATGCACAAAAGTAACATAAAGTTAGAAAAAACAATAAAATAAGAACACCGAGAAATGAACAAACTACAAAACAGCGAGCGTTTGATGTTCGCGCTTTTGCGTTTTCGTGGCAGTACTCTGTTCTGAAACATTGCGAACTGTTTCGCACAATTCAGAAGGTTCCAAGCGGGATGTTTCACGACTGCATGTTCAAGATCAATTGGCCGACTGGACAGAGTTATGGAGCTGTTGGCGACCATTGTTAGATCAACCTTGGGATCGGGATCCTTTCAACCAGCTTCGAGCCAACGGTTATGCGCCGGCCCGTCATACGCCACATTTGGTCCTAAGCCTTGCCGGCTAGTCGACGGCCACGAACAGAGAGCATCGCAGAACAACTTGAGGCGCTTGAGTGGATGACACAAAACACCATATATGCCGACGGATTCCAACTACGTACCGACAACCAATCTTTTTTTATGGTCTTTACTACTAAGGGCAACAAATACTAAGATTGAGGGTATTTACACTACAAAACCAGGTGATATATGTTTTACAGGGTCGAACGGAAGGCGAACCGGGATGTGCAACAAACGGAGTGCAAACCACAAAACTGCCCTCCAAGAAAATCCCGCATGGAAGCCACGTAACTCATCGTCCCGGAAATGTGAACTCATTGTCCTGGAGCCGACGCTGAGCTGTTGTCTTTCTTCCGCGGCAACTGAACTTTGGAACCGACCAACACCATGTTTTGAGCTCAGGAAGCTCCAGGAAGCAGCAACATCGACATCTCAACACACACGACGTGTTGTCGGCACAGTCGGCACCTGGCGGAAGCTCAACATGGGCGATCCGGCCGGTGAGCGGGCTGAGATGGGTGTGCCCGCAGCTGAGGGCGTCCTCACCAGGGAGCCTCACGATGAAAACAGTGGCCTGATTGGGAAAATGGCAAACTTCCTCCAAAGCGAAGACTCCTCCTTGCCCCATTAGAATATACCGTATACCCTTTTGAGATCCACGAGCACCTGGACGAGTTGCAAGAAGAGGTGTTTCTTGGTTTTGTTGTCAAGTCACAATTCGAACGCTACTATAGGGGCTTCTGGCATCGCTACTAGGAGCAAGGACGCTACGTTCGGGGCTCCTGGCCTTACTATATACTAGGAGCCAAGGACGCTTTTTACACTTCGCCTTTGGCCCTCAGCCCCCCTTCGCCACCTCGCACCGGCGACTCGGGTCCGCCGTCGCTGTGCCGCGGGAGGCGCGTCGTGACCTCACACGTCCAAAACCGGGGACCCACGAGGTGGACAGGCCTGGCGGTGCCTCAAGCGCATGTCCACTCTGATCACGTTGAAAGACGCAGGTTTCATGCAGATGGTGTTGGAGTTGGATCACTTGCGCCACACCCTCGGTTATGGTGGCCCGGTGCCCCGGCATGCAGCTCCGCCACCGGCTTCGGCTTGGGTGCCGGGAACAAGCACGGCGTTGAGGCATGGCGTGACATCCTCGTCGCGGGCGACCCGTACCCAGCAAGCCTGTGGGCCCCTATGGTGGATACCGCTTCAAAAAGGGCCAGTGTGTCCAAATTCTCTACGATTCAACGCCATTTGAGTGCCCTTTGTGGATGATGAGGACTATCTCCCATAGTTACAGTTCGACCACTACTCAGACTACGAGACGTTAAACTGTCAAAATGAAAAGGTCTTTCTTTGAGCCACATGCACCTTCACATTAGCATTGCATCTGGATGCATGTGCTCCAAACCCTTGCAGGGACTCCCCGCGGCCATGGGCTTGGCGTCATGCACAGGGCGCTGGGCCTGGAATCGGTGTAAACTCCATAGATGGTCGGCACAACTCTCCCAATTTCCCTGAAGTAGATTGAGGGATGAAGATGATGAGGTTGCTGGAACAGTGGTCATGATCACTGTGGAAATGTTGGTCAATCATCATCAGGGCTTGCAACCAATGGTGACCAGAGTGGACCGTGTCAAGTGGACCATGCTGGCCATAACATGTAGCAATTTGAATACTCCTGAACAACCAGGTCCAATGGTTGTGTCCAGGCAACTCTCATGGGGAGAGTGTCTGGACACTTACCGATGAACAAACAGGCATGTATCGAAACAGGGAGACCCCATTTTTCTACACTCCCTGGAAAAAGCATGGCTGTCAACGGTGTTTATGGCCCCTATGTGTTTTTGCACTGCATGGGGTCCAGGAGTCCAGAAGTGCTTCGTGTGCGGCATGAATGCCGCAACTGGCCGGCATGCCAGTTGCAAAGGACCACAATAGTTTTCAAGCGGGCATCGTGACGCACAAGTTTCCAGCTGCTCTCAGCATCATTAAACCACATTTGATGACAGAAGAAGAAGATGATGATGATGATGATCATCATCATCATAATGATCATGATGATGATCAATGAGCATCATTGGTTCATGAAACAAAAAGAAGATGAAGCTCATAAAGCGAAAATCAAGATCAAGTTAATGAAACGAAGATGAAGACGCAGTGCATGAACCGGTGATGAAAAAGAAGTTCATGAAAATGAAGCTATGAAACGAAGATGAGAATGAAGATCGAATCAGGTGCAACATGCACGTGTTCAGGAAACAAAGATGAAAATGAAGTGCATGAAACGAGGATTGATGTTTTTTCATCAAACCAACATCAGTTGACACCTCACCCAACCCCCCCCGGGTAATCAGAACGTCATTACTATTGTGGTAAGACAAAACAACGTTGTTTTGTCCAAAGAAGGTCCAAAGCTGCAAAACCCCTTGGGCCCAGGGGGTCGCCCTAGTCCACACCCATACGCCGCTCCCTTTTTGAGCGGTTTGGAGGGTCCACATGTTCAACCCTTGCGAGGCCTTTCCTCATTGAACAATCTCTGTGTCTCTAAAGCCTCTTAGGTCATGTGCTCCAGAATAGCTTGCCTAAACCGGGCTCTGCTTGTTGTACCTTCTTTCTGTCTCAGTACTGCTGAACTTACATGGCCTACAGAAGGAATAGTAACTGAATAGTAGAAGAGTACGGATGCCAGACCCAAACATGCGTGGTTTCACCCAGATTCCTTCAAAATGGTGCTGCCATGTGCTGTCAAGCCGCACCGTTGATTTCTTGGACTTCACCCGCTGTTTCAGCCCACATCCGGTCCGTGTTTCCCGGCATAATCCGCGGCTGTGGGTAACCCTGCTGACCTGCCATGGGCAGACGAGTGAAGCGGGAACCGAAGCAGGTCCTGAGGACTGATGGATCCACTGTCCCAACGAGTCCTAAAAAGCAGTGTCCCCCCCAAAAGAAGACAACAAGATGGAGCCCACGAACCCGAATGCAAACACGTTCGAAAAGCTACATATGTCCAAATACTGGTTGGCCCAAAAAATAGCTAATGAATGCTAATAATCATGTCGTTCTGATTCCTGGTTCTCCGGGTCAGAATCCCAACCCATCGGGAGAAGTGGGCTGAGAATGGCTGAGATACCTGTGTAAAAATCACCCTCGACAGACGACCCCACAGGCGTGCTCCAAACTGGCGGAACCCGACAAAAATGTGGCAGAAAATAGCCCAAAATGAACAAGTCAGTGACTTCAAGTGACCTGATCGGTCGCCTCCTGGTGGTCTACCCCAAAACCCTATGTCTGAGGGTCGTTTTGTTGTTGTGGCACTCACAACGCCTGAGCTTTTGAACTTCGCAGTCCAATCCTGGTGCCAAAACGCCGAAATCTCATGACTCCCCAACGACCTGCTTGATAGGATGTGACCTGCTTCGCCTCCACCTGATAGGCATTGCAAATCCTTACAATCTGATACAATCTGTATGGAAACCAACTTATTCAATTAAGGAAGCATGAATTCTGACCTTGGACCCCGTGAGCAATCGGTCTTGGCACCAAAACAGACTTTTAGCACACCAACTTTGTCCCACTTCCGTGCAATCTTGGTTGCCAAGCTGGTCAATTCTGCCGGGCATTAGGCTGCGCTTATGCAAGAGCACCTCTTCTTTAGTTGTAAAATGTTGTAAAGGGCTTCCATGTTCTCTCGTTTTGCAGGGCGGCTTCAGTCTCCTGCACCACCAGCGAGGGCGCGGCCTGTGGCTGAACCTCGGTGAAAATTCCAAGGGTGTTTTCCTGCCCATGGTCATTGTGAGCATCTCCTGCCCAAGATTCAAAACCGTTATACTCAAAACTCCTGTCGTGGATTTGTGGAGGTGGTTGGTTCTTGGATTTGTGGAGGTTTGCCGTCTTCGGTCTTTGAGCCAAGAATTCTGAAGAGAAATCCACAAGGGGTGATCAGTGATGACTTTGATTTCAACCGCATGGCAACTAGAATCAAGTCAACAAATAAGAAAAAAAAACTCCAGCAAGTCCGAATCTGCGCTGTCCTGGATGCACTGTCTTCATATCTGAGCAAGAAAATTACTCTCACGATTCCACAAGAGAGAAAATGTGGTGCAAAATACCAGCTCCAGCCAAGACAAAGGCACCAAAATCACCCAGCAGCCTCTCATTGACCAAGGAACAAACATCGTTCTATTGTCCGACCAATCACACCCTGGACCGAGTGAATATCCCCCCTCCCAGCTCAACACTCAGAAACCGTGTCTCCATATTCTCCAGCAAAAACTTAGCTGACCTACTACCCATCACCCCTGTCAGCAGAAAAAAACTAACCGTATCAGCAGATTCAAACAAGAACACAAACACCATCAAACACCCTCCCCATCCCCAGCCTCCTGCATCTTGCATCCTCCATCCCCTTCCGTCGTGTCTGACACCACGTCTTCGGTCCCTGGGGTCCCTCGCATCCAACTCATAACTCCAATGCCCTTTGGCCTGGCGAGAGAACATCAGGATTCTCCAATGCCCATGCAGAACTCGAGTGGAGTGGAGAGAAAAGCTAGAGATCCGAGTTCAGCCGAATTCCCCCCCGGGCAGGAGAGATGGAGCAAGTTTGGCAGCCCGGAAAGTCCCTTTCCATATGGAACAATTCAGTGTGGGACAGCGGACTGAGCAGAATCGATCTTTTGGAAAACAGCAACATTCTCTGTCGGCAGTGCCACGTCTACCGCCCCGTGGTCCATTGCTGGGATCCCCGTCACCGAAGGACCTCGGAACACAGCTGCGGACGATGCGTAAGGCGGAGGAAGGCTCCGGTCAGGAGAAGCGAAAGGCGGAGGCGCCGGTCCAGAGCGATGGATGATGCCTCACTATTATCGCGCTTATTGTTCCTAGTAGCTTCTTGTTTCTACTAGTAAGGCACCTGTTACTAGAGGCGATGCACTTGTTCCTAGTAGCTTCTTGTTTCTACTGTTCCAGAAAAGGCTCACGGCTCATGTTCCATGTTCCATTTGGACCAGCCGCATGTTCCTGGGTGACCGAACGACCGCCCAAGCCGGGTGAAACATGTTATATAATGTAATATGTTGTAGCTATATCTGTCAAGCACGATCAAACTGGCTTGCATCTATCGAAGCCCGGAAGGAATCGACTGAAAATGTGGGCACCCCAGTTCGAACATAGTGACGATCGAACATCAATCTGAATGCCTTGAGATTCGGTACAGGGGACTGGTAGCAAAGTAACTCTTTTAAAGTAAAATAACAACAAAACACGCACAATGACTCGATAGCTTACCCCGTCGAGAAGGTAGTGAAAGTGTCTGTCGAACTGTCTAACTCAGCCTGCTGACGTTTCTGCAGCAGTCTCCCTGACCAGGTTCGGGACATATCAGAACAGTCTACTCAGATGTGCAGTACGTTCACTGTATAATCTGTATGATGCATCCCGTTTTGGAGGAGCTGCGGGTGCTTCACCATGCTCACAGAACACACTGCAAAGACTCCCCCCAAATACAGTAAACCTTTTGGTGGCCGGGGAACCCTCCGTTTCCTCTTTTGAGACACCAAAACCACGACATCACACCGGTCCAATTTGACACTTCCCCAGCGGCTGGATGTTGTGCCCCAGGACAGTGCCCGGCACCCAGTGTCCACCCGAGCGTGACCAATACAAGACCTGGCGCTACCGCGGCCGCGGCGTGCATCCGGAGCGCAGAGGCGAAATGGTTTTCTCCGGTCAGTGGGGTCCAACAGTGGCGGTCTCTCCATAAGCCGACAGAAGATCGAAGCTGGAGAGGCACTCAAAAGGGTGATGACTTGTGAAGATGAAACTTCTCTAGACTGGAGCCAAAGTCACCACTTCTGCATTGAAGGAGAGAGTCGAGAAAACAAACACACGCTTCTTTCACACTTCTGGCATGTCCCTTGGTCTGTTTGCTGAGATCCTCTCTTTGGAGATGTGCACCAAATGCTTCCCGAGGCAGTCTTCTGGTGAGATGCCATAAACGCCAGGCGACAGAACATTCTCAGCCTGGCACCCCAAAACTCACTGCGCCCCTCGCGTCGTGGACGGCAAATGTCGAAACGTCTGACCGTGATTCCTACTCCCCACGCGGAGAAAGAAGGCCGAGCAGGAAGGCCAAAATCCACCTACCACTGGCGGTCAGGTCGAAAGTAGCAAAGCAGTGCACCCCGAGGTGTCTGTCCTTCTGAAACCAGGGCGCCCACTTTGCCAGCTATGTAACAGAAGCTTGCAAAGATTGGTGGGAAGCTCTCAACAGATGGGGAAAGCATTTCATGCTGGGCATCCAGTTGAGAGCTGCCCGTGTCTTGGGACCTCTCTCCCCAAATACATGTTTCTAGCACTTTGAGGAGCATGGCACGTTGGAAAACGCCAAGCTCCTCTCCAGAAGGGCTTTGCTTGGCTCTTTGGAATCAGATTTCGCCAAGCAGAAGATGCATTAGCGGACCCAGTCTGCTCATCCACTCTCCTCATCCAGAGCTTTCTCCTTCGCCTCAGACGCCAACATGCAGTCTGGTTGGCGCCCGTTCTCCGTCTCCGTTCGCCGTGGCACGTATACCTTGGTCGCCTCCTCCGGCGGCGCATAGAGCACCTGGACCGCGTCTTGCAGCTTTCCCTCGCGCGCCAAGGCGTCCGCGGCATCCAGGGAGAGACCATTGTAGAGTGGAATGGCGTATAGGGTCAACAGCAAAGCCAGGATGGAGGTGATCACCACCACCCAGAAAATCGTGGCGATCAGGCCCAAGTTCTTCCTGAGATAGACTGCTAAAACTCTGAAGAGTGGTGTATGTTTATAATATATTGTAATATATCGTTTAACCTGCAAAACATGAGAATGACGTATAGGAGATGGAGTGGGATGTGGAAACGGGGTGAATTTTGTTCACGCATCGAGGGTATAAGAGAGCGCTGAGTGCTGAGGTCTCTTCTCCAGAATTTACCACCGCTGAAGGCACCAAATCAGGGAGGGCTGCGGATACGACAACGCCAAAAGGCTATCGCTCTTGAGAACTGAACCAAATGATGGAGAACCGCCCTTCTTCGCAGGTTTAGCCTTTGGCCGCTTTGGTCTAAAATCGTGGAAGGTCATCTTCGGTCCGTAAACTGACCAGGACCAGCAAGTATTGCGTGGAGCAAAGCAGTCTAGAGTCTAGACCACTTCCCAAGCGGCATACCACTCAGACCACGCCCAAGCCCATCCTCTTCCATAACCTTCACCATTCTCCCATATCTCCAATCCGTCTTCTTATGATCCCAATTCCACCACACCGCCCTCCTCCTCTCATTTCCCCACCGAATACACCGGAGCGTCATCTCCGAGAAGGCGTAGGAGCCGATGGTGGCACCAAGCTTGCCGAAGGCCGCTGAGATGCCCGCGCCGGTGCCACGCACCATGCTGGGGAAGATCTCCGCGCTGATGGCCATGGTAGTCACCCCCGGCAAGCCTCGGGGAGAGGCGCTTGGGTTTGTAGCTTTCAACTGGTGTGGAGGAGGGAAAACAAGCTCGTGTTCTTTCTTTGGGCTGCCCAACGTGACATAATATGATTCTGACAAAAGAATGGGAATGTCTCCATGAAGTGTCAAAGTGCAAAATGCCAGGACTTGGAAGAGTCTTTTTTAAGCCAGACTGTTGGCATCAAGGTCATTTGGAAGCAGCTTCCCTGAACCCGTTCAAGCTGCGCACGGAACATGACTATTGCTGGACATGCAACTCTGGAAGGAAAGTTGAATGATGTAGAGGGCGAAGAAGAGAACCGTCATCTCCTGCGAAGGACAAGGGCCTACCTTGGAGCCACCCCAGCCTCATCAGCGACCAAGATATTCTGCTCTCTAGCCACTCGACGAAGTCAACGAAGTCTAGGTTGGACAAGAATCGCAGGATACCCAAGGAGAACCATAACCACGAACCCGGCAAGCAGAAAAGACATGAAAAGACGACTTACTACAAGAACTAGCAACTAGCTACCCCACTGTACTTCTAGCTATATACCACATTCACCGATCCAACCAACCCAATCCATCGCCAAGCACCTTCAAAGTTCCGTATCCCACGGCCAAGGCGAGGTTGCACAAGGCGCAGCCCAGGAAACCTGCACACTGCACTCGGCGGCTGCTGGTCATGGTGAGCAGCCAAGGTGCAACGATCCTGAGCGGCTGCTGGTCATGGCGGGATCACGGTCTAAAAATTGTGGAAGATGTACCCCGGCAAACCATGCATCAAGCAGCCATGTCCAAAGGAATGCCCTTTTTGGGGGCAGGGACAGTGACACAATGGTTGTGGGAGCCAACGAATGATGACAGTAGATTCAGTCGACAACCTAGGCCTTTCACCAGAGTGGGGTCCAAAGACTCGGATGCTGGGCCTCCAGGGCGAAGCATACAGCCTTCAGCGCTACTAGGAACAAGGACGCTACTAGGGGCTCCTGGCCTTACTGCTAGGAGCAAGGACGCTACTGGGGCCTCCTGGCCTTACTGCTAGGAGCAAGGACGCTACTAGGAGCATACAGCCTGAAGAGGGTTGGGATCTTTTCCGTGGCAGTTGAACCAAATCCTGGGGTGTCGTCCTCGGAGCGCAGGGGAGTGAGACAACAGAGGCACCGTCTGAGGACCCGCCGTCGCGGCATCCCCCCAGCTCGTCTAGAGACGCGCGCAACGCGCGGAGCTTTTTGGAGGCCAGCTGTATGAGAAAACCAATTGTTCATCAAAAGCATGCCAGGTGTGGAAAGCAAACTAAAGCTACGCCCCGTACAAACCTTTCTTCAGCAACCTTGGTTGCTTGCTTGATCCGGTTTGTTGATGTTCTAACACTTTGGTGCTTTCAATGTCCAAGCATCAGTGAGGGTATTACCAGGAGCCGAGTGAAAAAGACGCTCAGCACACTGTCGCTGTAGGCTCCGTCGTGGCCCGCATCGAAAATGGCAGCGTCGTTCTGCTTCAAGCCATACTCCACAATGTCATAGAGAAACCAACCACCGGCAGTACCCAAAAGTGGCCTATCATCGTTTGCCCGTTCAAGTCTGTACTTTCAGAAACAAGATGAAACAAGCAACAAACTATGTTCAAGTGGGGGGATCTTTTTGCGCCAACAAGGCACCCCCCCCTGCAGAGGAAATCCATCCCAAGCATCCCGAAAACAATCTGATCCACGATCTATGAGGCTTCAGTCTCCAGTGAATCAGGAATCAGACCCCTGGCACCGGGCTAGACCTCTCCCCCCCCTCCAGCGCGGGTGCCCGCCTCCAGTATGGCCGCAGCAACGATGCGGTCGACTCGCCAGGGTTTTCACACGTCCCGTTTCAACGGCTCGGTGATGCGAGAAAAACAACCTCCAAGAAATTCCTCCAACCTCATGGTCCACGTCAATACGTCACACGTTTCGTGGCAATACGTCTTTTTACGGAGCCCTGGTTGAGCCGTTGGTGGAAAACGCGGGGCCCCGTCCGAGCGGTTGGCCCGGTGTCCTGGTGACTGTGGCTGGCTCGACTCTGTTTGAACTTGGGGCTGTCTTGTGTGGCCACAATGCGCAAAAGCAGGCCCAAGACGGACAACGCACTGCCTCTCAGGGCAATGCCAGTCAGGATGACCTGTGCGCAAACCTGTTGACCTGGCAGTATGTGTATTGAACATAATTGAACTGCGCAAATAAACCCCCGACCCACAGGTGAAAGGGTTGGAGGGTCTAGCCTTTTTAGACAAACAGAGCACAGGATTTGTTATCCTTTTAATCCCGCATCCATGGTGTTTCTTTTTCACCGGATTTCGATCTGGTTTCGATCTAAAGCAGGAAAGGGCAGTGCGTGGAGAGTTGGCCTAGAGAGCCTCCGCACCCACTGCCCTAATTTGCACTGAGCTCCCGGAAGACAACCATGAACAAGCGGTTGGGTATCCTGAAAGGAGGAATCACCTCAAAGACATGCGATCATGATTTACTGGGTAAAAAGGGGCGCCTATGGCAAAGATGCAGCGCCACAACAAGTGATCTGGCACTCCAGCGATATCCATCAAGTACGTCACCAAAGGGCACAACGCCTGCCAGGAGGATGCACAACGATCGTGTGTCATTTGCAAAAAATAAAGAACATGTGTATCAAGAGCATGCCAGATGACAATGTCCATCTTTGCTGGAGCCTGTTGACAGATCACTACGTGACGAAACGCTACCACCTCAACTCAGGTTTGGCACGTTGGAGCCAAGAAAAAGAGCATGTCAAATCGTCTCATGACTGGTCTGGCCATGGGGTTTACATGGGGTTGACAGTCGTCTCAAAGACTGCTCGGATCACGGAGGATCTCGCTCGGAACGAGTCGGAACGAGTCGCCTGCCCACCACCAGAACCAAAGAGGTAGAGCAGTGCCACATTCCTCGCAGAGAGCTAGGGCGGCGGCTACTACCCTGCAAAGCTGCAAACGGTCCCAACGGCTTTTGTGCGGGGTTGAGGTGGCCCCAATGTGTGATCCTGGCAGTTTCAACGAAATCCAGCGCGACCGGTCCTTGCACCATCAGCGGTACTGGAGGACTCCGCGCTGTGGGAAGATGCCAAAGGATACCTTGGTGCTTTCGCGCGCCAACCTCCCGGGCACCACCTCCACCTCCGTCCAAACCCAACCGCCACACCGTGTTGACCGGATTCCGGGACCGCCACTCCGCGTGGTTCAGATCGTTCGTTCGGATCGTTCAGCTTTCACAAATCCCTCGATCCCCATCCCATCACAACAAGCTGCTCTCCGCCCATGCCGATGCCCGTGATGATTCGTGCCGCGATGAGTGCGTTTTCACACCAGGCGAAGGTGCTCAGCAGGGCACCAGTCAAAGTGATCAGCGAACACAAAATCAGTCCGTTGCGGCGGCCAATGAGGTCACTTAAGGGACCCATGACCTGCAAAAATGTGCCCGGGAGCCGCATGCGCCGCATGTGGCGCATGAGCAGCACCAGAAGACGCACTGGGTGTGGTTGTGAAGGGTGGGCTGGGTTCTCAGTTCCCAGGGCTGAAATAGAGGTCCAAGGAGTTCCAACAGGTTCCAGGCAGCGGGGGTAGCGTTTCTAGGACCGAGTAGGAGCATTTAGTTTTAGTGTGGCCCAAAATGTGTGAAGCACTCCCAGCGATCAGGACATACAAAGAATGCAAGCAACTCTCGGCTTCTCCAAACAAACATGTCCTTGTGACAAGCAGCTTCCTTTTAGCAGGCGAAAGGTAAAAAAACAAAGAAAGAACCACAAAACGACACCGGCTCCCTTTTTCTGCGGGCGAGCAGCGATCATCCCGAGGATGGAGCCGGCGTACATGGCGGATTTCACCAGGTCGTGCTGGGCGTGCGTGGCATGGAACTCCGAATAGTGCTCCACAAAGTTCGTGGCGCCCAGCATGTACCTAGCGCGCGACGTCTCGCGGCGGTACGGCGGGCGTTGGGGTCGTTGGGGTTCGTCGTGCGGAGAGAACCATTCTGAGTCGCCCAAGAATGGAATGTCTGGGCACCCGAGCAACAAGATCACACCCACACATCGATGAGTGCATGGTTTCTGAGAAGCTGAAGGTTAGCCCCTTGATGCCCTTGTTCCATTGTTAATTCTTGGATGCCATGGCACTTGTCAGAGGTGCTTAAATGACCTGTTTCTTCAAGGAAGCTTAACCAACGGTCCTTAAAGGCCGCCGTCTCTGCAATCGAACAGGTTACGCCCCTGCAGATTGGTTAGCACCCCGCCAAAACCACGTCGGGTTGGTATTCGGAACATGGAAGACCCACGGGTCAATTCTCAGGGTCCGTGGGATCGTCTGCAGGAAGTTACCCCTTCCTCGCCCCTTGACTCTTTCCAGGGTGCTTGTCTGTGAGGAGGCCAATGCCCGTTGCCAATCCAATCACTAAAGGATGCACCATGTTTTCAGTGCACCAACTCTTGAAAGCAAGGCGTTTTCTCCACACCCGCTCTTGAACTAAGGAAACGGCTGCGGCGCACGGCTTTGCAAGTGGATCTCTCCAACCTCCCACTAGCAATTCAATGTTTGCGGGGGTAGCCATGCCTCGTCATCTAGAATCTAGTGGTCTTGCACGCTTCCCATGTAATGGAAACCACAAAGCCAAGTCAGGGCGGATAAGATCAGAATTTGCATCCGCGCCTTCTCCCCAATGGGAAAGAGGGGGAAAATGCCACCTGATCGCAGAACTCGCTCGAAGGGTGCGCTCTCGCAGGCTCGAGGAAATCTTCAAACCCCAATAGACTGCTGTGGCGCAATTGGATAGACTGCTGTGTGCCATAGGCCGCAGGGTACCTGAAAGAAGCCCTCCAAATTCCCAGACTTCACGAAGCAGTTCAAACACTCAACAAGACGGGGTTCAACACACAATTTGCGTTCGAACTAGAGAACCGTCTTCTTTCTCTCTCTCTCTCTCTCTCTCCCTCGCTCTCTCTCTCTCTCTCTCTCTCTGTCTCTCTCATCTATCTATCTATCTATCTATCTATCTCTCTCTCTCTCTCTCTCTCTGTCTCTCTCTCTCTCTCTCTCTCTGTAATGTTCTAAGATGTTCTAAGTTCTAAGGTTGAACGTTAGAAAGGCTTTTGCACGCATGTCACAAAACCAAAACAACAATTGTGAAAATACTCTGCCCCCATCACCAAAAAGAACAACACAACAACTAATCTGTTTGACCGTGTTCAGCTCTGACTGACCAAGCTGCAACAAGTGAGTTCCCATGGTATCCTAGCAAGCCTGCAGACCCGAACAGCAAACTGCGGGCACCTTCCAAGGCGGTTTGCTTCATGGGAACGTTCATCGGAACGTTGGAACGTCTGCCATGCTGGTCACGCTACGGCTACGGCCAATGAAACGTGAGTCACGTCATGTCACGTCATGTCATGGTGATGTCCCGTGATGTCTCCCGATGTCTTCATGTGTGCTGAGCAAAGCTGCTGAGGCTGTCGTGACGATGCGAGCTACGCTGCCGGGTTCCGGCACGGTGGATGACTGCGCCGAGCTACGCGGATGAGGCGAGCTACGCTGGTGGGTTTCGTTCCGGAAAGACTCTCCAGGTCTTTCTTTCATGGCAAATACTATCATCCGCTAACATCTTCTGAGCTTCTGTGTTCGGGCTTCTCATGTGCCGCGCATGGATCATTTTGTTCGCCACATGTCCTCATGTCTTGCACTGACAGAGCTGAGCTGCAGCCACGAGGCCGAAGCAAACCTGTTGATTCGTTCGTTCCTCTAAGCTATGAACAGGGAGTGTCCAACATTTTCCCCTCCGGAGTTGTACACACTTCGCTCCGAGAGCACATACCTCGCTCTGAGTGGTGCAGCATCTGGGTGCCGAACAGTCTCCGCCATTTTGGGCTTGGCTATGTAAGTTAGATTGGGCCTTTTTTGCAACTGTCAAAACATTTAGATTCCAAGAAGCCATGCTTGTTCATGCTTATATGTTTGTTCATGTTTGTTCACTCTCAATTGGTACACCGAAACGATGTGAATTCAGCAAACAAATTCAAGATCGATCTCTGGTCCCTCAAGGACTTCCAACCCAGTCGATCGTTCCTCGATGATTTTTTTAGGTCAGAGTCAAGTCCAAACCTCTTGAGCTCCCCCAAAACGCAAAGAAGACCCAAAGAAAAGGAGGTCATCGCTAGAGGTTGGAGGCCATCGCTAGGTTGGAGGCCATCGCTCTTAGGTTCCTTAAAGTCTTTCTTCTTATCAGGTTTCCATTACCGTAAAAACCTAGGAACCAATAGGAACCAAATATACATCGTGCGAACGGAGACTGACGCCCCACCGCCGGCCGAAACCAACCGCCCCGCACGGTTTCTTCTCTTTCGGGCGCCAGTCCTCCCCGCCTGGCGAGTCGGGGGGGGCAAAACGGCGGGGGGTTCTCTCCAGCTCTGGATCATCGGGCCCAACAAGAGCGAAAGCGAGCTTGCGTCCGGGTGGTGGGAGGCTCTGCGGATTTGAATGCCCTATTGAAATATCATGAAATAACATGGAATATCCGGATATAGAAGAAGCAAGACCCACAAGATTCGCACGTTTCACTCAGGCCACCTCTGAAGGACGATACGACTGAGCGGACGCGACTGAGCGACGGGTCGGTCACCAACGGGTGCGGACAACGAAGCTGCTGATCCGGTCATTGATAGGAACAAGAAGCTACGTTCGGGGCTCCTGGCCTTACTACTAGGAGCAAGAAGCTACTAGGAACAAGTGCATCGCTACTAGTAACAAGTGCCTTACTAGTAGTAACAAGAAGCTACGTTCGGGGCTCCTGGCCTTACTACCAGGAGCAAGAAGCTACTAGGAACAAGTGCATCGCTACTAGTAACAAGTGCCTTACTAGTAGTAACAAGAAGCTACGTTCGGGGCTCCTGGCCTTACTACTAGGAGCAAGAAGCTATTAGAAACAAGTGCCACGCTACTAGTAACAGGTGCCAGGCTACTAGTAACAAGAAGCTATTAGACTCTAATTAGACCAAATGAATGCCAATGAGATGAAGGTCAGGGCCTCCGCAGCTTTCCCAGAATGATCAACTCACCGGCCTGCGCTGCCCCAGTCTTCCAGCGCTAGGGGTGCTGCAGCCTCCCATCAGACTGCGATATGATGCACATCAGACATGACATGTCATGACATGTCAAACACCCTCAGTTTCCCTAAAAAGACAAAGCTTATCCACCTGACCTGTTCTGATTTCGGGCACTGTGGAAATCTGCACCGAAGTCAGGGATACTCTGCAGCCCGTTTGGATGCGTGGCGCGCGGTCAAAGGTGGACCAAAACGACCCAAATGATGTCTTCCATGACGAAAACATGACTCCGGGCAGCCACCCACATGAGTGTGCCCCAGATCATTTCACAGGCAGGATCTCCATACAAATGAGGGAAAACCCGCCAAGCACTTGGACTTCAACTGTCCTCCCTACTCGGCGGTACTTCACAAATCTCACCTCAACGGGATTTCTTCTCCAACTTAAGATCTTCAGTTCAGCTGTTTGAGCTGAACAAACCCCGAGTGCAGGAAGAGCTACCAGCGCCGAGCACCCTGTTCTTTTTTCGCGCACGCGCTCGGATTTTCGAGTACCGCACCTCGATGGACTTGGTGTCTTGCGCCACGGCGGTCGCCCAGGCGTGCAGCCCTGGTGCCAAGTCCAAGCTGGGAGCAGTCTGGACCAGTCACTGATGGAGGCTGAAGAGGTCCACCCCATCGACTCCCTCGAGGAATCTCATGATCATGGCATCCCAGGTGGCCTCCCCGACCCACGGATTTGGGACTTCGGTCTTCACCGGCGACCGCTGCGTTCGGCACGCGCGTTGCTCAGCGCAGGAACGGGCGCCTGGATCTGCCGCAGTGTTCAAGACCACCTGAGCACTCAGTCTTTCAGCATGTGGAAGATGTGTCAACTTGCTAAGCCAGGTGTGAGAACCATCGCTGTCCCTAACAACCCGTGACGCCTCCCAAAGAGAGAAACCTTCAAACGTCAACCGTCAACCCCTTTTCAACCAACAAAAGCCTAACGACCTGTCACGACCTGTCGTCCACAGGACCGCCCTCCACCCGCTGAACACGAACGGCAGCACCTCGACGAGTCGACCGCGACCGGCGCCGGGCACCCCGACACCGCGCATCTGGGGCGCATGAGAGCCTGACGGGTGCTTTTTCAGGCCTAGGAAAAAGAAGCTACGTTCGGGGCTGCTGACATCGCTACTAAGAGCAAGGACGCTACGTTCGGGGCTCCTGGCCTTACTACTAGGAACAAGAAGCTACTAGGCTGAGCAGGCCCGAGCCTGACGCTGAAACCTCAAACCTCTAGGCCAAGGATCTCCCAAAGGTTCTGCCCGTGCCCACGTTTTTGTAATAAACCAAGCATGCAATGCTGGACGACATCACCTGTGTCCATTGTATTCAGTACACGACCCCACACATCAGTGATCAGCCAATGCAGATTCATTGGCAAAGTCATCTCTCAAAACGATTCAAAACATGCTGTGCATTGCCAACAAGTGTCTAAAATGCAACAATCGCAGTCTTTTTCGTACTCCATACCATACAAATAGTTAAATGGTCGAATCTGAACCATCTGCAAGCCACAGGTCGCTCGGTCTTCCCATGTCTCTGCCCATCCTGGTGGTCTCTCGTAGACCACCCGCTCCCCACGCCATGCCTGCAATGGGCCGAAGAGGCAGTCTTTTCGTTGGCCCGAGAACCGACTGCTCGCTGGCCCTCCAAAACACTCGAAGCTTTTGACACCCATTTTGGCCACGCCGATCTAAGCACATGCGAGGCATGAATTCCACCATCCCTGCGGGCGTCTTCAACGCTCCGCATGCGCCTCCAGTGGAGGGAAGCGGACCCGGCTCCTGAGCGACGGCCCCAACGAGACCAAAGCCTGGGATCTGCTGACACCTGGAAACTTCCGGTTACGCGTTCCGATGAGGGTCAGGTCCAGAACAGAAAGAAGGCAAACAAACCGAAAAGGCAATGACCAAGGCCACTGTTTCACAGTTTCTACCACGTGTTCGGTCTTTCGGTGCGTCTCTTCACATCGTCCGACAGCCCGGTTTCAGTTCGTTCTGGGCACCCACGCCCGCGGCGCGGAACTCGCCCGGAACGTCCGCTGCGGTTCCAGGCCACGTCGCCTGGACGCGCGGAGACCACTCCGCCGCGCGTGGTCAGATCGGGGTGTCCCGCCGCTACGGTGGCTGCGGGGCAACCCCGCTGTCTGTGGTCCTTTCAAAAGCACAACATGTTTCATGCCCCCATGCGCCGGAGGAAGTGTTGCATGGGGGGTTACATCTGTATCTTCTACGACTTGAGGAAGAATACAAGGCTTCTATGAAATGGAAAGTCTGGCTTACTAGAAAGATTCCACAAGCATTGCCGCCTTGACTATATTATATATATATACTATGAAATGAGAATCTGCACGCAGTTCGTTTTCACAACTTGCACTCATCACTGGACCGGTCTACATGTGGCAATGACAATGAATCACCAGCATGCACCTAAAAAAATGGCAACCCAGGCGTTCTGTGTTCCAATTCACATGCCGATGTAACATGCCTAGGCTTTCTTCGATAAACTGGCATGTCATAGAAAGCCTAAGCCTTTGTACTCCAAAACCCGCCGTCTGCAGCGTCTGGGGTCGCCGAGGACGGCCAACAAAAACGAGTCCCATGATTGTCGCAACAATCACCGGATGTGGACTGACTCATCACAGCTCTGATAAACGACGTGATTCTTATAGCCCTGGTCCTACACCCTTTGGGGTTCTTTGGCGTCAGAAAAGCAACAAGTCTCTGATCCAAACAAAGCACATCAAAGCACATCGCTTCAATGGTCCACAATCTCAATCACTGGATTTTTTTGGGCACTCCACAGTCAGCCAGGCCAGACCGAGCCTGCTCCTGTGGCCAGGGCAGAGTATTGCTCCCCACTCACCTCCACCTGCGTCCGGAGTGCGGATCCGTGGCGCACGGACACGGGCTGGTGAAAACGGCCGCCGCACTTTCTCATCCAGTGGATGGGATGAGAGGATATGGGATGTGTGCACTACAGGGCCCCCTTGCCCCTTGGTTTGGCTTGGTTTAGGGCTCAATGTTGATCAAATCGATGATAGAATAATTGGTGGCTTCTCAAGCAATGCCGCATTTGCCAATCCACATGCTTGCATTCCTTCTCCATACCACGGCCCCTGTGTGCAACTTGCCTGTGGATGGTGCAAAACCCATCTTTGCGCTTCCAGCAAGATGTCTTTACATCACAAGGCTCCGAATCCTTTTGACACGAAGACCTAAGGTGCCTAAACTGATCCTTCTGTGCATCCTAGCAATAAACAATTCTATACAAGACGCTGCCCAGGGAGTCAGAAGATCACCTGCGATCTTAATTGGCACATCCAAATTTATATGACTAAAACAAGGCTACGCATCTGTACAACTGCACAAGCTCTTCAAATATTCTACGCATATCATTTCATATCTGTTGCCATCCCATGAGGTCACAGCCGGCAAGTCAGGCCGATGCAATACTTGTGACCAGTATAGTGCCGATGAAAAAAACACAAATGCTCACGGCGCAGCCAACAAAACGGTTGGATCGATCCTCATCCTCGCTTCTGTGGTTGCATGTAGAACAAGCAGGAATGTCTTTGATGACAGCGGTGTTTCCAACCATGTTGCTCTTTTGGATTGTCTTCACATGAGCAAGGCACAAGAGCTTGTTGCATGCATGACATTTGGATCCGGCAATCTGCGTGCAATCTCCCTCTTGGCAAAGTGGAGGCCGTAGGGAGTGAATTTCCAGCTTGGGCTGCGGCACAGTCAATTTGACCACTGTGTTTGGCAGGACGCGTTCCAAACGAATGCGGTGCCCACCACGTAGCCCTATCTCTTCCATGCAATGCTCATCCATGCAGCGCACATCGTCCACTGTCTCGTAGCCGAAGGAGAGCAACTTGGAGTGCCATTCCTCCAAACCTGCGCTCCGCAAGAGCTTTAAGAGCTCGGACTCTTCCACACGCGTCCCTAACTCTGTGGAGCCTTCAGAGCCTTCAGAGCCTTCGGCTGCACCATACACCTCAGGAAGAACCTCATTGGAAATGGAAGGAGGACTGACCATGGCGAAGCGGTTTTCGGGCGCTCCCCGAAAACTGTAAACCTAAATGCCTGAGACGTGCTTCCTAAGCACATGCAACGTCCACCTTTAGCCCGTATATGTAACCAACAATTTGGTTTAAGCACGCGATCAGTTAGTTACTCCATCAGATTTCAGTAGTGGCAGGGAGACATGTTCAAAATGCGGAAGAGCGCAATGGCGCCCCTGGAATCTGATCCTCTGCTCATCTGGTGGGCTGTGAGATGGAGTGATCCCAGAAAAACAGTGCCAGTGAAGCTGCGCTGCGATACACCATCGTAGATAGTTGGACTCTTAATGAAGACTGTTGATCAACACAACCCCCCTACCCGAATGGTTCTACATCTCCGTATGGGAGGGTTTATTCATCAACAGTCTACATCCGCCCTTTCCTCCCTTCTGACTTTGGAACTCCCAAGGCGCCCACAAACTTCACCTCGCGCCAGGAGTTGTCCCTGCGGCCAAAAAGAAGGAGAAGGCACGGACGTTTCGGCACGCGATGGACAGCGCATCTCGTCCAGCCGAAAAGGAAGCGAACGTCGGTGCCGACGCACCTCCGCGGCGCAACCGAGGACGCAGGCGGTAAAGTGGTTGCCAAGCCACCTAGGTGGGAAGGCGGTCAACAAAACGCGATGGAAACACCATGGAGTCGCTGCCAGAGCCAAAATCTTGACAAAGATTTGTACACAAGTCGTGAGTGGATTGCCTTGAAGTGTCAGTTCCATCTTCGTTGCAAATATTGATGCATGAAGAAATGTCAGCGACGCTCTGCTCTTCCCAAGGTTTTCTTAACAATAATATTTCTTAATAACGAAATTATATATACATTATACATTATACAAATTCTTATATATACATACATGTATATATTAATACATATATATTTAATATTACATGATATATCATACTGATTCTTAATAGATTTATACTATACATACTTCGTCCCTTCGCCCTTCGGTTGGCCTGCTTCGGGGGCAACCACCAGTGCAGCCTTCGGGCGCTTCTTCCTGCGCTGCTGCAAGCCGGTACGCCACGAATCCCGCAGTCCCGGCAGACCCGGCAGACACTGCCCGCGGTCGAAGTAAATTGGTTGGAGCAAATCTTATAATTACAGCTCCGGTACTACTCATGACTCATCCTACTCACTTACGGAGTAGATCTTGGGAACATACAAACCAACGCACCTCTTTGGGCTGGTGGCCAGCGGCAAACTGGAGCTGCCTGTGGGCCACAAATGATGTCCATGGTGGCTCTGGATGTCATGCTCTTGTCGTGCTCTCGCTTTGAGGTGTAAAAATGGTAGGGAGAATCCATCAGACCCCAGTCTGCAAAAACACGCCACAGCTGCCTGCGTCAGGTGCAACGAGAGCGGCTGGGCGCTTCCTGCGTCGGCTGAAAAACGTCGTGTGGGCTCAGTTGGAACGGTGGCGAAGACGCCTGGGGATGCCGATCCTGAAGTCTCCACCCCCAAAATCGATATACGAACGGCCATGGAAAGTGGCGATGCGATGAGCAAGGACGGGCGGCACCAACGGAACGGCAGCATAGAAATCAGCATGAGCTCATAGAAATCAGATCGCCTGACTGATCGAAGCGATCACCGCCTGTTCTCTGACCTCTACGTGTTCCAAACACACCTCTCTGATGGCTCGGCGCGCGCCCACGGCCGGGCCAGCGGAAGGCGGTTCCAGGGTCGTATCGTCTCCCCGGTGACCCACCTCGCAGCCCTCATCGCGGAGGGCTTCAAGTGGCCATTGCAACTGTCTGGTTTTGAAGGAATTAGGGTCAGAGCTACTGTGACTCTTGTGATGAATTTCGGGAATGCGTGATGTATCTGTGGCGTGACCTGGGACGTAAGATCACCTCACAAGTCCGTCAAGTGGTTTAATTAGGTGTGAAGCTTTGCTTAGTGTCCAAGGTGATGTCTTGCTTGTGTGTTGCTTTTCCAGTCGCCCATATATTCCCTATTGAACATCCAAACGTGAGAGAACATGCATTCCTGATATTCTGATATATTTGGCCACCTTCATGTGTCGTCACATGGGCGTCCAAGTTAGAAGTTCTCACCAATCCTTTCCACATAGACTTCTTGCTGGACATTCTTTGTGAACAGCTGCAGCGCGGCCGAAACAACGCCGAGACGAGGCGTCGGCAGCTCCTGAAGGTCCGAACGCAGAGTTCGACGCGAAGGTCCGACACCACGGTGTCGGTCCAAAGGACCTGACCTCCCAAGACTCGAACACATCGATTCCGAAGGCTGGGGGTTTTCAGCCATGCCTCCGCGCGGATCCGCACCATGTCTTTTACTGAGCGTGTTCGGTGGGAAATGGGTTTCAAACCAATTGAGTCTGAAATTGGCCTTCCAAAACACTACTCTTTTCTGAACCAAGTACCTTCTCATCATCTGAGCTCACCATCCATTTGCGCCAGTGTCTTGCGAGCCAGCGCTCCGCCTGCTCCGAAGTCATTTGGTCGGCATCTGGGGCTGGAACATTCAGCAGCTCGGCAAACAAGCGAAGATGTCGCTTCTGCTTGAGGTTTGTAAAGTTGAGCCCTTTGCAGAGCTCTTCACTTTCACCATGCCAAGAGCTGCAATGCTGTGGTGCCGGAAACGCAGCGCGATCTTTGGCAACAGCTTCCACAAAGGTGTCACTTGCTTTCGGCGGTGGTGGAGTCCATGGTGTGGCTGGAGGTGGGGCATCTGGCAAGTGCAGTGGAGCGTCTGTTCGAGGTTCATTCAACAGGAGCTCTTCAAAATTGCCGGCCCACGCATCGCGCTTGGTCAGAAAGAAACTCAGGTTAAATAGATGTTTGATCGTAGCCGGGACCGAAGTCAATTCAAATTGCGAAGAATTGAAGGGTCCATGTTGCGGCTCTTGAAAAACAACGCCTCTTCCAACCCAGGGCGAAATGAGCAGAGCTGTGCTTCGCAAGCCTAACCTCCGGAAATCGAAAGGGTGTCCACACTTTGAATGCACCCCTGGTACTATACAGGGGGATTCGTCAGCAGGAACTCCTTCGTGTGGGGGCACCACGTGATCGTAGAAACCTCCGGCATCGTCATACGCGACGAACAACAGTGTGCGGGTCCAAGACGGCCCAGCACCTGGGTCGTGCTGATCACGCTCAAGATCCAGGTCAACATGGATGTGTACTTAGGCTGAAACCATCTGAAACCCATTTGTTGGGGTCTCCCTAGTCTGATTTTTGGGGGTCTCCAAATGATGAAGAAACACTGAACAGTCCAAGGCACGTAATGCCTCATAGATGTCTTTCAAGATCCGCTCGCCTTTAGCAACGTCGTGGCACGGGTGGTCACAAGCTTGCAGCGGCGGCAATATCCAGGAGAGGCCTGGCAACGAACCTGGGCTTGTTGTGCATTTCAGTGAATTGGGCAACCATCCTCAATGGAGACGGAGAGTCCAATGAAATGAGGATGGTTGCCCGATATTGGAGACTCGTGTGCATTGAGACAACCATCCTGACCCATGGGCATTACATGTCCATCCTCACCCTCAATGTCAGTTGTCACTGTGCCCATGGAGACAGAGAGTTTGATAGACGGCCATTGAACTCCCCTCCCGACATGAGAAGCCCCGAAAACCCCACCGTTCCAGGCAAGCAAAAGCATCTACAAATTTAGTTTAGTCTGGTGTATATGTAATTCCCTGTAACAGTGGATGATGATGGTTAGGAAGTCGCCTTTCTCCAAAATAGTGACAATATATAGTATATATGTGTCTTTATTTATGTATATGTTCACTTGTTATTCTTTAGTTACAGTAGTTTAGGGTGTCTGTTTTGGGGCGCCGAGGCTCCATTGGCTGCCTGTTCATAGAAGATCGTCTGACTCATGAAGCGATCCTTGTGCCGCGCCACCCCGATCATGGCCACATCCGGCGACGCGATGGCACTCCCGGCGTCCGGGTCGTGGGGGTCCTCCCCATGGCACGGCTTCCCGTCCAGGCCGCAGGTGCTGTTCATGAAGAGGCTAAAGCTCACCTACAGGTGAGACACCCCAGTCTTCCAGGTGAGACGTATCAAATAGAGTTGGAAAGGGCCACCCCCACAGTGTTTGAAAAGGGGGGGCCAGCCCCTTTTCAAGTGCTACTAGCGGAGGCGCCTCTGGACGACGTCCACGAAGCTTCAAGCACTTCAAGCGCTTCGGGGGCCGGTTTTTCGCGGGGCAAAGCAACAAACCCTTCCACGTGCTGTCTGCTGGGGCACTGACTTGGCACCGGAAAATGACCGGCATTCTCATATTTTCCAATTGGACTCTTTTACAAGAACGGGAAGCAACTGCAAGTTCTGCCAGTACGTTCCCTTCGGCTTCTTGTGAGTTCAAGTCACATTGTGCAGCCTCAAGGAGTCATAAATCGTGGGTTGAGGGAAATAAGTTCCGTTTCCCCCACAGTCGGGGTACAGCACGTTCGAGGTCATCCCACAGCTGGTCGCCTCAGCGTGACTTTCTGACGGACTCTGAGTGGTTTTGGGGCAGCCAACGAACCAGTCATCCACTTTGAAAAAATGATTCAAAAAAAATGCAAGATGTTTGATTCTTAGGAGAGCATGTCCAAGTCTGACGGCATGAATCTGGAGTTCTACCAATTTAGTAGCGCCGCACAAAATACTTGCAGCACACTGGGCAAAAAATAGAATATCGTGTGGCCTTAAACTGCTCTCTGAGAGTTTAGGGTTGTCAAGGACCTCACAAATGCAAAGAGGTTCTCAAACCCCTCAAACCCCTCAGACCAACTCACTGAGCTCTCGACCGACTGGGTGAAGAGATGGTTGGGGCTGCTGGCAGTTGGAGTTGCTGTGAAGAGTTTGTTGAAGACCCCAAAGCTCTGGGCCAGTGTTGCTTTGATAGGAATCTGCTCTGGGCCAAACATGGTCACAGCTGTTCCGTTCTCAGTGGCACCGTGCAAAGCAGAGAACTTGTCTCCCTGGAGCGAATATGGATAACGATTCGGATGTCCATTCTCAGCAAACTTGGGGGCAAAGGTATCATAGCTCGGCCCTTTCTGACAGACATATGAAGCATTTCCGCAGGTGATCTGGATCTCTCCTTTGGACAGGTCCTCCGGATCTTTTGGAATCGAATGACCACGGATACCATCGAAGCCCGGCAGGTCCATGCAGCCGAAGAAGCTATCAGCTGCATGATTCTCCATGTAAAGCACCACCACATGGTCGATCTTGTCTTGCCTGAAAGCAACTCGTGGCCAGGAACGATCTGTTGCCCCCGTGGCGCCACGAGCATTCTAGCGCCCGATGGCTGAGGTGTGGATGGAAATTACCACAGTGATCACAAACATGAAGGTTCATCCGGCAAACGATTGCTGACCACCCTGGCCTTGGCGGGGGTGACTGCAAAGGCAGTTGCTTTAGTCCCTTCGCCTCAGGCAAGAAGCGCGCCACGTCATCCTTCAGCCGCAGCAAGTCGCTTCTGCTCCACCCCTCTGCGGAGCTCGAAACGCAAAGCGTCCAGGCAATCAAGCACAACTTCCCCATCATGATCATGCTCTGTCAAATACTGCTTAAGGTCTAGCAAACAAAACAATGACCTAATTGTACTACATTGTACTACATTGCCAAATGGCTCGGCTTATATAGCTTAAATGGTGATGGCTTGCTCATGTTGTGCCTTTTCAAGTGTCCCAGATTCAGCTTCGCTTCCAACACATTCATTAAGATTCTTAGGGATTTCTCCCTTGGTCCAACTTGGCACCTCTTCCGGCAAAACAATGCTTTGGAGATCGTATTGAACGGACTTGATCTGTGTGTCAGCAGCCGTGATCGCGAAAGCGCGATAGATGGTTTTCTGCAGCCAAATGAATGCACATCTCTTGCACATCGTTGCATCCATCGAATCCAAGGGTTTGAAACACATACCAAGTGTTTAGGATATATAGATATACAAGTTTGCCGCGAACGTGCCCCTCCGCCTCCACGAGCTTTTTTATGGCTTTTTTTCCAGCTGCGAACAGAATGAACAAAATGCTATGTCCAACTGTCACGGAAGAAATCCTTCATGTGCTTGTCTTGCTCGTGGCCATGTGAGACCCACGTCATCCGCCGTGACATGCTTTGTGGGCCTCTACTTTTGGGATGGCCTCTGGCCCTGGACTGGTCACATCTCAAGCTTGAGTCTACGGTTTGTCCCCCCCCATTTCGTGCATGTGAGGTGTGAGGACAAACGTTGAGGAACTAGAAGGACTAGTGACTAGACTGGACTTGGGGAAAAAAAAAGAACAGAACTTAGATTGCCACCTGGGCCCCGAATTGACGGTAGTATATACCCTGGCAACAATTCTGCACTACGGGCACCAAACCTAGTCGTCCCACCCTTGGGCCAGTCCCGACCAGAAGACACTGCCGGCCAACCCGCACGGGGCCCTCCTCCGCGTCCGCGGAGGAAAGGGCCGGACCGCCCAAGGCATCAGCCAAGGGCACTTTGCGATTGCAGGCACCCATCCAAAATGCCTGGGTGGTACTGCAGCTCCTTTTCCCAATCATCCGCCTGGTGGTCAAGCGCACTTGAAGAGATCTTGATAGATGAAAATGCCTGAAACCCATCAGCTCAGGAGGCCCGCTAGTGAAATGTTGGTGCAAAGCTGGGTCGCCCGATGTTGCCCCAGAAAAAGGAAAAAAAACGGTTTGGCATGAGGCGACAGCCCTGAAGCGTCCTGACGTGTCCGATTCCTTTGATCAACCTCGCTGACTGTCAGGCATCTATAAACAAGAACAACCTCGCATTTTCCAGGCAAAATCCATCTTCGGAGCTCCTGAACAGGCCGGCCAGGCCTCCTCAGCGATCCGCATGCAGCCCACGGCATGCATGCTGTTGGGGTCGCCCTGGCATCCGTGAGTCAAGGATCCCCAGAAAGGTTTTCCTGTGAAATGTCTTGAAGTCCTTCGCTCAAGGGTTTGTCATACCATTCAAGACGTGCTCCAGTGAAACAGTTTCACACATGGACAGAAACGATGTAAATATTGACAGGGGATTCACCTGTCACCTGTCCTATTTTGCGTCACTATATGAGTGCTGGACCAACTCTGTTGTCTGCAGGGCATCGGTAGACGGCTCGCCCCTCATCGATTGTGCCGGTTTCATGCAGGTGTCCATCCCACGTCCACCCTATGATCACTTTAATATTTGTTCATAGACTTTGCCGGATGCTCGTATTTCAATTCCAGATCAAACCCCCTTTCTCTGACACACCTCTTCCTTCAGGTCGCCTCCACCATGAGCCCATGGGTGGGCGTGAGGCATCGGAAGCGTGGCCCATACCCCAGGCCACCCACGCGGAAGCCCACGTAGGTATAGACCTGCCCGAAGCGAAGTGCTCAGGACCTCCGTGTCCCACACGGTGGTCCATGGGAGGGTTGACATGGGTCGTCCCAAATAGGGATTGGCCAAGGCAAATCCTAACCCACACAGGTCCAAACAGATCCAAACGGGTGCCATGGTCTGTTCAAACGATAACTTCAGATCTCTGCCACGCCAAGTTGAAACCCTGAAAGGAATCCTGGAAGGTTGCTTTCCTCTCAGGCCTGTTTTCAGAGTCCATGTTGACTTTGGTGACCAAATGCTGCCCGTGTGTTTTTGTTAATTTGTAACAGGGCAACCCCACAGTTCCCAGCTCCGAATGAAGTTTCTGTCCGGGGCCCGTTCGGGGGCTCTTTTGCACAGCTCCGAGCAACCACGATGCAATGACTGCCGCCTTGGTGACCTCACGAATGATGAGCCCGGGTGCGCTACCTTCGCTGGAGATCTCTGAAATCGCGGCAACTCTGATTTGATCGAAAGCCGAACAAGGAAAGCTTGGATGCTGCAATGCTGGATTGTCGAAAACCTTGGGACGTCCATACAACTTTACAATATTCATCTGAATCGAGTGATCGAAACTTCAACAATGACATCACCCACAAAAATCTGATCTCACATTCCCACAGCTGAATTTCATTCTCCAGTTGGGGATGGTCACCATTTCACCCGCATACCTATATTCATTATGTCTGATGATTGTGTGTGTGTGTCGGTTATGAGCTTCCGACTTGAGATCGTTCAACATAGCAAAAATAATCCAGAAGACATACAAACAGAAGCGGAATAGATCAAAGTAATAAAAAGAATGATGGTTTTCCGAGGTTAGAAAACCGTCATCCTTACTCAAATATTCAATAAACTAAAAGAACACAGCACAGAAGGCCTTTCGTCCGCACGCCCATCTGCTGCAGGAATCCTGCCGCTGCGCGTCGGTCCTGGCGAAGTGGCAACACTTTCGGGTGGTTTCCTACAACGCCCAGTTTGGTAGAAAAAGAAACGTTTGCCAACGTCCTCTTTTGGAAATCAAAGTTTCGTGGCATAATTCATCAAGAAAAAATGGACCTACCATGCAAACAAGTGTGAAGTTTGCTGCTTGGAAAAAAGGTGACGTTGCTGACCGGACCGCATGTCAACCAAGCCCCGTCATCGCGAGGGGTTCTCGCAAGTCAATGGAAGTCATCTGATATCATCTGATAATGGTTTTGTCAGTGTTCAAAGTGTCCACTTCGAGTGGTTCGATCGCATCACCCCAACTGCCGGGAAAGCTACGGTGTAACGACCTCACGCAGTCGCAAGTCCCAATGGCCAATGGCCTTGTTGCAGCACGGCTTTGGTATTTTATGCCCCTGCCTGCTGGTTTCACCATGTTCGGCTTTCACTTGATCCAACAAATGAGCTGAGTGCTTGTAAACATCTTGTAACCAAGGCAGGTCTTTCGACGATGGGTGCGGACCAGCGTGCACCGCTTCGCCCACATGTGCCATAGATTTCCAAGGGCGAAGCAACGACCGGGTGAAGACTAGGCTTGGTGAGCATTGACCTCGGTCCCATTGACCTCTTCATTGATCTAATATGATGAGTGTCCCCCAATAGGCCGTGACCGGTGCCTCCGCCGGTTTTCGCTCGGTGTCGCCAGCCGCCCGTTCCCCCCGTGGGCGCTTGGCGAGGCTGTCTGGCCTTCTTGAGCGCCGCGCCGAAGATCTGCTGCACGTCCTGCGGCAGATGCGGCAAACGTCGATGGATCCAAGGGCCCCAAAGCATCTGGTCCGGCCGGTCCATTTCGGATGTCCCGAAAGGGAAAAACTCGCCCAAGCGAAACCCAACCCAAACCTAGCTGCCAGCCAGGTTCATTATATGAAGCAATTGCTTCAAAGCAATTGGTTCTATATGATTCCATAATGGCATTTGCTTTGGTTTCGATGCCTTGCATGGGCAACCACACGGCTGGGATTCCACACGTGCTGCGTGTATGCAGAGCTCTTATTGAGCTGTTCTATGGCGGATTTCCACAAGTTCCTCAGCTCGGATTTCTCCCGAGTGGGTGTGTCCAGGCACCTGGGAGATCCTGCAAAGACGAGCAGGTTGAGAATCTGTTTTTTTCAATGGTTCAATGTATTTGGATGTATTCAGGGTGCCATGGTTCCAGTGTTCTTCCGAAAGCTTTACTTATATAAGTTGACTCAAGGCTTCAACAGTGGGCCACCGTCTGTGGGTCTTCCTGTCTCGGACGCATTTCTCGGTCTCGCGTGGGGCCAACATGTATGCAAATGATTGCCAATGCATGCGTGGCTCATTGCTTTGCCTTGGCCATTGGAAATTGGCTAGGTGGGTTCAACCAAACAAATCGCATCACTCACTGCACCTCGGTGTTCATCTGTTTTCCATGCTTTTTCCTGCAACCAGACCGTGAAAAGGCCCAGGTTCCCAACCCCGTTCCCTCCACGGCACTTATCCTGTTGCTCCACTGCCGACGCCAGGTCCTGGCACCATCTTTTCGGGGAGTCGATCGAGGTCTCTTCGGTTCCCAACGGATGAAGCCGGAAGATCCGCCTCCGCATTCTTGGGGGTTCCAACCAACGAAAGGACACTACGAACGGAGCAAAGAGCATCGCTACTAGGAGCAAGGACGCTACTAGGAGCTCCTGGCCGTACTACTAGGAACAAGAAGCTACTAAAGGATCCCTTGAATTCCAACGAAAAAGGGCCAGTCATACGGAGCGGAATCTGATGATCTGCGGCATCTCTGTTGTGCTGCCCAGTTCGTGAAAGAACTGCAGAGGTCCAACCACGCAGAAAAGCGGAACTCAAACCTGTGTCTTTATACTGAGCTTCTCACTTCCCCTCTTATTAGACTGTAAGAATGGCACAACCAGAAAACGCCCCTGACCAAATGTTCCACCAAACGCGCGGCTCTCAAACAAACGTCTGCCCACTTGCACCCAACACCCGCCACACGTGAGCCGGCGCCTCGAGTGCCTTCACCGCCTCGTTTCGGTTGGGTGCCTTCTCAGTCTCCCCGCTCTCGGCATAGGCCCTGGCAACGAGAGAGAGAGAGATCGATGGATCTGAAGTACGGACTCTGACAAAGCCCCTGAATTGGGAAGACACCTTGTTTTTATAGAGGAGAGGATGTGGCTGGGGTCATGGTCCACTTCGATGTTTGGTTTTGAGGCCTGGGCGCTGTCCACTGATGCTGCTGCTTTTACTGGCACATAGAAGGTAACTGCGCCGCACTCAGGATTCAGCTTCAAACTTCACGTTTGACAGGTCCCTGAATGCAGCAATTAGTTGTGCCTTCAACAACTCTGAGACACATCTTGGGGTCGTCGGCCAGCCCAAAAGCCGCGGTCCCAACTGCCTGTTAATGACTCTCTTGCAATCCTCCTCGCCCTTCGAATTGCCCAGCTCCTCGTCGTGGAAGCAAGTCTAGCTGCAAGAGTTTCTATCTCGACCATCAAGCTTCCAAACCCTTTCATGGGTTCCATTGTCGGGTAGACCAGCTCTTGCTGTTGATGAACAAAATGTCAGGCTTCATCTGGATGCCAAAACTCGGGACCCAGGCAGCCCACCAAAAAGGTTGGTGTTTATCCACATTCATGACTGCTTCTCAGTCCTTAAAGAGTCCAAGGCCCTGTTGCGCCAAGCTCAAGGCCTCCTGGCAAAGGGAGGGAAGGACCGTTGCGGGACACACAGTCCCTTGGGTTGAATGTGCCATGCCCAAGACTCCTTAAGTGTGAGATAAGCTGGTTTTGACTCCAAAACTTTGAGTCCAGTCAATGAGTCAAGGCTTTCCACCAAGGCACATTAACTTGACATTTACCCCGTGGAAAACCAACATGGACCCTGAAACCCACTGGTTTGTAGAGGAAACGGTGCTTCCGCGTCCCATTCTCAGGGTCCATGTGAGTTTTCGGGTGTGTAGCTCAAGGGCCGCAGGGCCGCAGGGCCCGATGTTGCACCGAACGCGTGCGATGTTCCCGATCACCGGGCGCTTTCGACCGCTGGCTCTTCGGGTGTCCAAGCGACGGACCATCCTACCACTATGTTAACAAAAGACCTTCCTAGAATCAACACCCAAATGCATCGTCACCAATAGAGTGAGACATGGCCGGAAATCGAGAAATCGCTGCAAATCGTTCATCTGTGTGTATGTTTTGCTGAGTAAAAAGAAAGACTTTCTTCAAAACAGAGATTCAAAAAATGGTCCTCGGCCATCCTTTACAATATAACTGCACTCTGCAGGGTGAAGTGGCCATCGTCGGATGCACTCGAACTTATGTACCCCAGTACAATAAATCCTGCCGTCAAATGACATGACATGACAATGGAGTTTGTTCCATACCTCATCTTCAGCCTTCGGCCATCCTTCGCTTCTCTCTATATAATCTTATCACTCAGCAACGCCGACCGACTTGCCCCACCTTATTCCGGCCGCCCCGCTGCTTCAGCCCTGCAAGCATCAGCAGCATCTTGGCTTCGCCAGCCTTGGAACAGGGCATCTGAACGTTCCCACCGGTCGCCAATTTACCTGCAGTATTGCATGAAAAACCTCTGTATTCTTCGTGCGTTTCTTCCAAAGCCAACTATGTACCCCTTCTCTTGTCTGGAATTTGGGCAGGGGTCAAGCCAATGTGTGGAATGTGATGTACCAAATTCCCGCGCCGCGCCGCCACGATCACGCGCGCCTTCTGGTTAAGCTCTCGGTACAAGCTGAGGGCGTCGTTCAAGGTCTGGGAGGCGCTGCCCGTGTCTCCACGGGAAATTTGCACCTCAAACAATGGCACAGAAGCCGCAGAAAGTGAGAAGGCCGCTCCAAGCATCAACAAGCACCAACTGAACAAAACAACAGAAAAGCCAGTGAAGCCTCCTTCCAACATGTTGGGTAAGCGGGGGGGGGTTGCCCTGCAACATGCAGAGGGTCAGAAACCCATGCGCTTTACAGGGCTTTTGGGGCTTCGGGGCACTCAACTGATCGTCTCGGAGTTGAGCTAAGTTGAGTGCACTTTGAAGACCACTCTCAAAGACCTGGAATCTTTCCCGTCCTCCCACCTGGTCGATGAACTGCGACTCAAGGAACCTTTTGCGGCACCACTTCAGTCCTCTTCCCAATTGAGCCATGACAGTTCACTGTACTTTGAGCTAGCGGACTAGTGTCTTGCACAGCCTCTCTGTGTATTCTCACTGCCTCTAGCATTGAGTCCAACCCTGGATGTTGGCTGAACCACAAAGCTGCGAGGCCTTCAACGTGCTCTCGTTGCGTGACGACGTCGGTCCAGAAACGCGATGTTTGGTTTGCGCAACCAGTATATAACACGAACGAAACTGTCCCCAGCCCCCCCCCCCCCCCGCCGGAAAACCCTGTTCGCTGGTCGGAAACGTTTGCTTGCCGTCGGGGCAAACCCCCCGTTGACCCAACATGTTGAAGCCAAAGAGATTCAGAGCCGAAACCGAAAGCACATTATACTTTGATCCAAGGTGCCTCAGCTAACATCTCAGAGACGTCAACCTCTGCCTGGCGACGATTTGAGGCTGACGGATGCGCAAGGGGCGCCTGTTGCATACATGTTTCTCAGTTGTCCTCCACAACAGTCGGCTGCGGAGCCCAAAACAAATGGCCCAGCCGGATTGCTCCAAGGTCGTCTCGCCATCTCTCGCCTGCTTGTCTCCTGTACGCTTGATCATCGCTAGCTCGTCACTGGCCTTGACTCTAGGAGTGGGGGCATGGAGCTGGTCAGATTTAACTGGCTTGGAAGACATTGGCAAGTCTGGAATTGACCCCTGACAAGAAGAAAACGTAAACTGAGATCCCCTATCTGCATTTTAAAACAAAAAAGGTTGATTCCAATGCTGTGGCTGAGCTGTGAGATCACTTAGGGACAGCGCTGCCATCATAGCATCAAAATTTCTCTCCATTGCCATGTTCGCATCAACCACCTCAGCAGCTAGAGGCTCCTCGATGGGAACCTCCAAATGCTTCAAATGACCATTGCTAGCTGCTATCTCTACCCGCCACGTGCCACAGCTGCTAGAACCCAAAACCGCCAAAAACCCTTCGTTCTTGGGCAATACGACTCGGGGTCTCAGCAGTGCTTTTCGCAACGCTTCCCATCATCCTCCCCTCGTTCCATAGTAGCAGGTACCGATAGGTACCAGGAAAGTACTCGAGTCTCTCGGACTCGTGTGATCTGTCGAACCTGTTGAGGCCCGCGAGATCGCACGTAACTCGTAGGGCATCGCTACGAACCTATGCAAAAGCATGCGACGAGTCTACGAACGTAGCTCCTGGCCGTAAACTACGAGGAGCAAGGGCATCATGATGCCATGACGGTCATGGGGCTCCGTGCCAGCTTCAAGGCGGAGACCTTCTTCTTGGACTCCCCCGCCCGGCGGAACGACACCAAGGCTTCCTGTCCAGGAAGCTCCACCCGACATCGCACCGGGTGCGATGGGGACGGACGGCGAGCTCGGAAACGGTACAGAGCGGGCAGGGTGGAACAAAATGGAACAAGCTCTTGGAGTTCAGGACCTGGCAGTTCCACTCAGTGCCATGTCACTGATCTCATTGGTGGAAGCCTTCTGCTTCTGATGTCCAACCTTCTGCTTCTGATGTCCAATCTACGTAGAAAGGTGAGACCTTGTTTCCTGACTCACACATTGACTCACACCTTGTTTCCTTCTCCCTTTTTTCCAGTTCTATCGCTGCCTTGGCCAGGGATAGAGCTTCTGAGGCCTCCACGGATCGGCTCTTCAGCGGGTCACACGGGTCCCGTGAGCGGTGGAGACCCATCGCGGACCCTTCGGTTCAACCAGACTCCCAAGTCGTGTGATTTGTACAGGGGGTTGCCAACAAGAGTCGGTTTTGCATTGGAACCAATGCTGAGGGGTGTTTTTCCGAGAAGACAGTTCTGTTTCGCCGCACCCAAGCAACCTCTCATCAGCTCTATCCCCAAACGCACCTCAGATTACCACATCAGTTGCCAAAGGAAGGGACAGGCTGGGAGGATGCAAGGAATGAACGAACGAATGAAGGAAGGGTGGATGGATGGATGGATGGATGGCTGAGGTCTCCGGATCTTCCAATGCAAAACCTCTTCGGCTCGGCCACAGTGGTCGCCTTGCTCTTGTAGAGCTGCTGCTGCTGAAAGCTCACCCTCGCTGGCGCAGGTTGAAAGAGGATGACTTTGGGAGGGTCTCTATTAGTCTCTATTGCTTGGGGGGGGTTCAGTTGAACATAGGCACGGAGAATGTAGAAATACGATGAAATACGATCCAAATGTACCGCATGGTTGTGAGCATTAAAGAAAGTCAAATCTACCCGAACATCCTAGTTGTTCCGTTGCTGAGCAAGCTTTGGTTCTTGGCGGAAGTCAGGAATGAAAAAATCAATCACCGCTTCATCACAGCTGCGCACCCGAAAGGAAACTGGCTTCGATTCCCCATGAATCCCTCTGCCGTGGCTTCATGATTTGGGACCCAGAAGGTCCGAGGACATTTCTTGTCGCCAACCCTCTGCAGCTTTACAGCAAAAACTAAGGAAAACTCTTCTCGACACCAACATCACAAACAGCCACAGCTCACCTCTCACTACTGTGCCACCCAGCTCACATGGAAGACAAACCTGTCTGCGTAGCCACGGTCTCAGTGACAACTCACGGTCTCCTGCAGGGGCCACAACTGGGTCGACCTGGGTCCTCCAGCATCTGGGGCTTGGCCGCCTCATAGCCGATCAAAGCATCGGACCTCGTCGGCGTGGGCCGATCGGGCTCAGGGACTTGCAGAAAAGGAGGTGCCCCGGTCTTTTCCAGTCTTCAGACTCCGAAAAAATGTGTTCGGCACACTTGGACAGGCACGATGGAACTGGAGAATCGAAACTCGTGTTTTCCTCAAAAGATGGGTTAGAAAAAGGTGAAAATAACTGAAAAAAATGGATTCAAACATGTTGGAACATGTCCTAAGAACTCCTGAGACCAGCTGAACCCTCGACCAGCTGAACCTCCTAGGCACGGTCTGGCCACAGGGTCTGGGTCTGCATCGAGCGCCCGCACACCGAGGTCTCCGGAAACATCGCCTCCACCCAAGGAAGCATCCCAAGTGAAAAATCGGGTGGAGGATATATCAGATATATCATGATATATCTAGAACTTCCAATCTAGAACTTCCAAACTTCCATGATATTTATCGGGTACGCTTTTAATGTGGGAATTTTTTCATTTTTTTTCGGGAATTTTTTTCAGAATCATCCGGTTGAC